CTCTGTTGGCTGTGAAGGGGAGGAAGTAGCAGTCAGGGCTGCAGAGTTAGGTTGGGGCCATATTAATCAAGGCCCTAAGTGCCAAAGCGAGGAGCCTGTGATTAGAGGGAAGGCAATAGGGAGCCATGGATGGCTTTGAGAGGGAGGGGCGTGGTGGTGGCATGATCAGAGTAAACTGGCAGCGGCACAGGCTGGGTGTGGGGGCAGGACGGTGCTAATAAGGTCTGGGGAGAGGGATGCCACCCCCCTCCCCACATGGGTGCACCAGAACTGCACACTGAACCCCCGCTCCCCTGCCCCAGGCAGGCTGCATGCGTGATTCATGGGGTACAAGGGGCGGGGAGGGAGCAAAGATGGCCCTGAAATTGGGGTTCCTGGGTACAATGAATGGATCCACAGCCATTGGCAGGATCTTGGCAACAGAACTTCGGGAGGGAGGGAGGGAGGGGAGAGAGAGGAGAGAAAGAGTATAGATGGGGTCATGATGCAGGGGGTGTGGGGCTGGGCTGCACCTCCTGGCTCTGCGGGGACACGCTGTCTTCTGAGACCAGTCCCCAGGCTGGTCATGGAGCTCAGGGGCTGGCTTGTGTGCGCCACAGGGACAGAAAGCTGCCCACACATGTCAGTGGGTCTGCCCAGTCCCCACCCCTCTGCCAGCCTCCTCTGGACTCTTGCCTACACTTTTTGGGTGCCCTGCCTTGCTTCTCCCCACGGGAGGACGGGGATTCCATTCACTGGCCAACACCTGGAAGGCTCCCTGTTGAGGGGTACTCTGTGGGCATCCCCACCCCACCCCCGGCCATCGGTGTCCCCCAGGACAGGAGGGCAGGGCTGGGTCCGGGGCAGCATCGGCAGAGACTCAGAGCCTTTCTCATCACAGGGAGCAGCGGGTGAAGCCTGCTAAAGGGTGGTCTGCAGACCAGCCAGCGTCTTCCTCAGTCCTGGGAGCAGGGGTCCCTGGGAGGGGAATAATGCTCGATTGACAGCCCTTTGAAACGGGCCCCTTCCTCCAGCCCGACTGCCCAGCTGCTGGAGCCCTGGCCTCCGGGACTTTGAGGGGGCAGAAGCCAATGCTGCCTGCCAGGTGGACAGGAAATCAGCCCAGAGCTGCAGCGTGAATGGTAGGAATGGAAGGATGTGATGAGAACCAGGGTTGTCACAACAAGCCCATCCCCGGTCCCACCCAGCTCCCCAAGGCTCACCCAGGCTGTGCAGGCTCCGGGCGGGATGAGATGAGAAGTGATGGGACAGCCTGTCTCTATGGTTCCAGGAAGAGCAGAACCAAGGGCCGTGGAGGCCCGGCCCGGCCCGGCCTCCCAGGGGACCAGGACACGCCAGGCGGGATGAAAGGACAGCAGGTGACAGGGCGAGGCGGGAGGAGCTCTTCCCTCCCTCAGCCCCCAGCCCTCTCACAGCGGGTCAGCCTGGTCCAGAGCCAGCCATCCTGTCCCACCTGCCCTCCCTGCTCAGGACAAGGGCCCCGCAGGCAGGGTTGGCAAAGGGGAACATGGGGCGAGGGCCAGTGTGGGGACTGCAGGCACTGAGAGGGCTGGAGGGAGACAGACGTGCGGGACCATCACAGGCCCAGCAGCCCGTCCTCAGCCCTGGCAGTTACAGGCCCACACATCACGAGGAGACGGCGTGTGAGCACCTTTGGGAGCCTGATGAACTCTTGGGGCCGGGAGTCCATGGAAATTCAATCAGCCCGGCCAGCCTGGTGCCCTCCTCCTCTGGGTGCAGTGAGACAGGTGCAGGGGTGGGTGCTGTGGGGGAGGCGCTGCAGGGGTCCCCAGAGTTAACAGACATCCCCCCCCCTCGCCCCCGCATCCATTCCCCAGCCACAGGCCTCAGGAGCCAGCTCCAAGGTCCTCCGGAACATCCAGGGGTCCGATTCTTCCTCCGGGGTCAGGGAGAGCAGTGGGTCCCATGGAGGGGGGCCCTTCCAGTGGGGAATGGGGAGCAGTCAGCTCACCCCACCCTGCAGGTTTCAGAGTCAAAGCCTCCAGAACCCCTCAGTGCAGCAGGGACAGGGGATGCCAGAACCTGCCCAGACCCCGAAGGGAAGAAGGGTGCAGTGACAGAACCAGGAAGTCCAAGGGGAGCCATGTGACGACTCCCAGCACAGGCCTGAGAATTGCATAGATGACCCCTCCCTGGCGTGACTGAACCCCGGGGCCTCCGCTTGCACTTCAGGAAGTGGTAGGAGTCGTGGCAGAGAGATCTTGAAAGGACTGGGTGTTGTGAATTCACCCAAAGCGCTGAGCACGCCTCCTGCCTGCAGCACGTGCTCAAACGCTGTTGTTCCCTTGGCTTGAATTTGGGCTTCGAGCCAAGTCCTGGGGACTAAAGGCGTAATTTCGAGAGGACGCAGCAAAGGGCAGAGGTTTGTGCAGAGAAAGGAATTCTAGGCTAATTGGAGCCTGGATGTTGCTTACGCTGTTATACGGGGCCTCGGCCCCAGCACTGTGGTCCTTGTGGGCCGGCCGGTCTGTCTCAGGGCCTGTCCTGTGCATCACAGGCTGTTCACTCCTGGCCTCCACCCAGTAGAGTCAGTAACACTGCCTGGTTTGTTTATTTTATTTTTTTAACGTTTTTATTAATTTCAGAGAGAAGAAGGGAGGGGGAGATAGGAACATCAATGATGAGAGAGAATCATTGACCCGCTGCCCCCTGCACACTCCCTACTGGAGATGGAGCCCACAACCTGGGCATGTGCCCGAACTGGGAATTGAACCGGTAACCTCTTGGTTCCTGGGTCAATGCTCAGCTGCTGAGCCACACCTGGCTGGGCGTATTTTATTTTATTTTATTACTAGAGGCCCGGCACATGAAATTCGTGCATGGGTAGGGTCCCTAGGCCTGGCCTACGATCAGGGCCGATCTTCCCCAGCGGTCAGCAGCCAGCCCTGCCCCCGCTGTTGATGCTGGTTGCCCTCTGTTTGTGGGGTGACCGGCGGGGCTGTCGGGGCCCCGCTCACTCGCACCTGCCTTGGCCTGGCACTGCCCCCTCCACTGCCACCCACCCCCGGTTCCCCATTCCCCACCAGGCAATCAGAGCCTGCCAGCCAGGGGGAGGGACCAAGAGGTTGGCCAGCAGGCCCCGATCGGGCAATGGGGGCCTGCAGGAAGCTCCTGCATTGAGCGTCTTCCCCCTGGTGGTCAGTGCACATCATAGCAACTGGTCTTTCCACCATCTGGTCAATCTGCATATTATGCTTTTATCCTATATGCAAATGGCATATAGGCATATAGGATGGCAGAACGACCCATTGGCTGGGGGTGGGGCCAGCGAGCAGGCAGCACCAGGCCAGCCAAGGCGTGTGCCAGCGAGCAAAGGGAGGGGACTGCAATTGGGGGGCAGTGGTGACCAGCAGTGGCAGAGGGGTGATGGGGTGGGGGCGAGGCTGGCGCCATCCCTTGATCGGCCAGCCTGGTCACCTCCCGCAGTGGGAGGCCACCAGTGGCGGCAGAAGGGTGATGGGGTGAGGGCAGGGTCACCTTCCACAGAAGGAGGCCAGACTGAGGCCGTCAGTCGGACATCCCCTGAGGGCTACCAGACTGTGAGAGGGCACAGGCCAGGCTGAGGAACCCACCAAGTGCACGAATTTTCATGCACCAGGCCTCTAGTATATATAGATTGTTGAGAGTATTACAAATGTCCTCCTTTTTTCTTCTCCCCTGTGCCCGCCACCACCTAGTTCCCACCCCATTCCCAGCCTTCACCACCCTATTGTCTGTGTTCATGGGCTATGCATATATGCATATAAATTATTTGGTTAATTCTCTCCCCCCCCCCCCCCGCCCCTGCTTGCCTCTGAGAATTGTCAGTCTGTTCCATGTTTCCATCCCTCTGGATCTATTTTGTTCCTCGGCTGGGGGGGTGAGGGGGGTTGTGTTTTTTATTTTCGTAACCTTTACTACAGTTAGTTTCTCTTTTTTAAAAAAATATGTTTTATTGATTTCAGAGAGGAAGGGAGAGGGAGAGGGAGAGAGAAACATCAATGGTGAGAGAGAATCATTGATCGGCTGCCTCCTGCACACCTCCTACTGGGGATCGAGCCCGCAACCTGGGCATGTGCCCTTGGCCGGAATCGAACCTGGGACTCTTCAGTCCGCAGGCCAACACTCTATCCACTGAGCCAAACTGGCTAGGGCTGTTCCTCAGTTTATTTTGTTCATTAGATTCCACATATAGGGTGTCCCAAAATTCACACAAGATTTGAATTTTGCATGAGCATTAACAACAACAACAAATAAAAGCTTAATTTTACTTGGCTTATTGAATCAGATTCTAATATCTGTTGCCCTTTGATTTCAATCCCTTCAATTTGATAAGCATTACCAAGTACCAGTTATGGCCCAGGAGCAGGGACAATGAAGACCAATGAAAACCACGGCTTTGGGTATGTGCCAGCAAAGCCGTGGAGGCCATTTACCTGATGTGCTATTCCGTACATAACCCTATACTGTACACTTTATGAATCAATAAAAAATTTACAATTTTAATTATAAACCTGTGTTTTCTATCAAAATTACTTCTTGCGTGAATTTTGGGTCACCCTATATAAGTGAGGTCATATAATACTTGTCTTTCTCTGACTGGCTTATTTTGCTTAGCGTAATATTCTCCACATCCCTCCATGCTGTCTCAAAGGGTAAGAGATCCTTCTTTTTCACAGCTGCATAGTATCCCACTGTGTAGATGTACCACAGCTTTTTATCCACTCATCTACTGATGGGCACTTGGGCTGTTTCCAGATCTTGGCTATTGTAAATAACGCTGCTATGAACATAGGGGTGCATTCTTTCTGATTGGCATTTCAGGATAACACTGCCCAGTTTTGCCAACCCAGAATTACCAACTACCCCCTGGGGGCAAAGTCCCCTCTGTCCCTGTGGAGAAGTACTGGGCGGCAGGGATGTCAGGGAAGGGTTTGGGAGTGGGGAAGTGGAGGAGGAGGGCTACCCAGCTGCCCCCTCAAATGCTGCTTTTCTTGCAGGAGGAGCCCATGGCTGGGCCCACCACCCACGTTGCCCCCATGCTGTTCCTTGCCCTCCTGGCGTTTCTGGAGCTGAGCCTGGCCGGCTCCCTGGGCCCTGGAACCCCTGCTCGAAACCTCCCTGAGAATCACATCAACCTCCCAGGCCCAGCACTGTGGACGCCTCCGGCCAGCCACCACCACCGGCGGGGCCTGGGCAAGAAGGAGCGGGGGCCAGGCATGCCTGGCCGGGCCCAGGATGGAGCTATGGGCACCTCCACCAGGCAGGCCTCCAGGCTGCCAGGGGCAGGGGGGCTGCTGCCTGGGCAAAGTCCTGCAGGCCTGCTTCAGGACAAGAGTCTGCTCCTGGGGCTGGCCCTGCCCTACCCTGAGAAGGAGAACCGGTCTCCAGGGAAGAGACGCGGCAGGGAGCACAAGAGACGCAGGGAGAGGTTGAAACTGCACAGAGGTAGCTGGATATCTGGGATGGGGTGGGGTGTTCAGATGGAAGGGAGGGTGGAGTGAGGGACGGAGATGGCTTCAGGAGCAGGCCCGGAGGGGGTGTCCATGGCGTAAGGTCACTGGGAGGGCGTCCAGAGGCCCCAAAGGAGGCGGGCAATGGGCACCCAGAGGAGTGAGGCGGTCTCACTAAGGTCAGAGGGATCTGGCGAGGGGAGGAGCCTGGGAGAGGCAGGGAGGGACGTGTGGCCATAGACACTCAGTCTTTTTTTCTATTATTGATTTTTTAAAAAATATATTTTATGGATTTTTTTTTTTAAATATATTTTATTCATTTTCTACAGAGAGGAAGGGAGAGGGATAGAGAGTCAGAAACATCGATGAGAGAGAAACATCGATCAGCTGCCTCCTGCACACTCCCCACTGGGTATGTGCCCGCAACCAAGGTACATGCCCCTGACCAGAATCGAACCCGGGACCCTTGAGTCCGCAGGCCGACACTCTATCCACTGAGCTAAACTGGCCAGGGCTATTATTGATTTTTTTACGGAGAGGAAGGGAGAGGGATAGAGTTAGAAACATTGATGAGAGAGAAACATCGATCAGCTGCCTCCTGCATGCCCCCTACTGGGGATGTGCCCGCAACCAAGGTACATGCCCCTGACCAGAATCGAACCCGGGACCTTTCAGTCCGCAGGCCACAGGCCGACGCTCTATCCACTGAGCCAAACCGGTTAGGGCGACGCTCAGTCTTATCAGTAGGTAATCCTCCCACGTCAGAAGCTCGACTTTACATCTGACCTGAATATACTGATTAGCCATGGACCAGTTCAGGGCCCTCCAAGGGCATCACTTCATCACCTCCGAGGCCTAGAGCAGGGCTGAGCGCATAGATTCTGAAGCCAGAATCCGCCCAAGTGACTAGCTGTATGAGTCACTGGTCTGTGCCTTGGTTTCTCCCTCTGCAGAAGGAGGAAATGGCCCCATGGAGCCTAAGTGGAGGTCCAGAGACCGCCTGATATGTGGAGAGCTTGGGGCGGTGCCTGGCAGGCGGCAGGGACGGGGAGCCGTTGTTGCTAGGTGATGCTCAGCTTCTTCTTGATGCTGAACCAGTGTCCTCCAACCTGGACACAGAGGTCCCAGGGGGAGGCGTCACATCCCTATCGCTCCGGCCTCTGCCCTGTCTGTTCCCTGCGGAGCTCCCCATCCCCTTAGCCCTCCTCACCTTCCTTCACATCTCCAAGCCCCTGCGAGCATCTAGCTGCCACTGTTCCCAGCGCCCCCTCCCTTTGCCCATTCGGTCTCTGAACAAACATTTCCCAGCGGCTACGCTCAACTGGCTCCTCCCCAGGCTCACCTGGCCTCCAGCCCGAAACCTCAACCTCAACCGCAGCTTCCAAGCCTCTTCCTGTGACAAGACTGCCTCTAGGGGCAGGGCTCCTGGTGCAGACACAGAGCACAGAGCAGAAGGGGTTCTGCAGGAGGAGGGTGGTGGAGCCTCAGCCCCACCTCCCCCTGCAAACAGCTGGGGCTTGCTTTCCTGCCAGGCCTACTGGGACCCCCCACGTGGGCAGAACACAGTCTGCAGGTGTATGTGTGGCGGGGGGCAGCTTAGATCCTCAGCCCCCTACTCCTGGATGCTGGCCTCCTTGAGGGACAAGCCAGAGGGCACACATGGGGTGTGGATCCATTCAGCTCAGCTCCAGCCCCCAGCTCCAGGGGACCGGTGGGGCCCTAACAGAGCGAGTGGCATGGCTCAGTGGTTGAGCATCGACCTATGAACCAGGAGGTCACAGTTCAATTCCCCTTCAGGGCATATGCCAGGGTTGCAGGCTCGATCCCTAGTGGGGGGCGTGCAGGTGGCAGCTGATCAATGGTTCTCTCTCATCATTGATGTTTCTCTCTCCTCCTTTCCTCTGTGAAATCAATAAAAATATTTTAAGAGAGAGAGAGTGCAAAAGGAGGAGGGGGCACGGGAGGTCTGGAGGCCAGGCCCAGCCCAGCCCAGCTGACCAGCTGTGAAGCCTGGGAAATGAAAGGAACAGATTCAAAGGTCCCTAAGTGGCCTTTCTACTCTCTGGGATTCATTTCTGGAGAGTGGAGTGGATCCCAACGACCCAACCAGCCTTAACGTCAGCTCTCGCCTGAGACAAAGAGGCAGGGAAGAGCCCGGGCCCTCCAGCTTCTCTCGAAGCCCCGTGTTCCCGACCACCCCAACCCTGCCGGGTCACACTCACCTACCTCATGCCCATGTGTCTTGGAAGGCGGCATTGGTGGTTAAAATTATTGATTTTATCCTCAGATGGAGCTGGGTTCGAATTCAAACTTTAGTATTTACCAGCTGTGTGCCCTCAGGGAGGTCTCCTAACCTCTCTGTGCTTCAGTTTCCTCCCTGGTGGATGAGGCTGACAGAGTACCTGCCTCCCAGAGCTCCTGCAGAGCTCATGAACTAATGCTAGTACCGCAGGACGGGGCACACACCGGGGTCCTCACACACAGCAGGCACTCAGCAAACAGCACGTGTTATCACCACATAGCCAGCCTTCCCTCGTGTGTGATAAGCCTCCGCTCTCACCTTCCAGACTTCTCAAAGGCCTCTCCCCCTGCAACGCCTCTCAGCTTTAGCTCGTTGCTCCTCTACTTAAGCTTGACCTCCTCCAGGAAGCCTTCCATGTTAATCCTATTAGTTCCCATTTGCACCCAGCCATCCCAGACTTGGACTTGCTATGATGTTGCTTTAGATTGAGAATCCTTGGGCTGTCTCCCCAGCAACACTGCAAGTTCACCCCAGACATTCCTCCGCCCCCAGGTCCGGGTTTCCACCTTCCCAGGAGAGTGGGCAGCAGGGAGGTTTGGGAGCCAATGACTAGCCAGGCTGTCAGACTTGTCACGTGATGCCCCTACCCCTTTGTTTGCAGCGGGAAACGTGGGTTCTGCTTTGGGCTGGTGCGGGGTGGCGAGCAGATAAAGGCCCTGTGTTTCCTGTTCCGTCTCTCAGGCCGAGCCTTGGTCCGAGGTCCCAGCTCCCTCATGAAGAAGGTGGAGCTCTCCGAAGACCAGGCGCTGGACGCTTCCATGGAGGAGTCGTCCACCAGCCTGGCCCCGACCATCCTCTACCTCACCACCTTTGAGGCAGCACCTGCCACGGAAGAGTCCCTGATCCTGCCTGTCACATCCCTGTGGCCCCAGGTAAGGCCTCGGAGCCAGAAGAGTCCTGGAGACCACATCATGCAAATCCCTCTGAGCCATTTAGGGAGACTGAGGCACGGGGGGTGGAAGGAAATTGGTGGAGGCCTCTGGGGTGAGCTGGAAACCAGGTCTCCTGGTGCCCGTCCAGCCCAGCTACAGCCCGGTGGGCACTCTGTCCTGAAAGGGCGGCCACTGTCCAGGAGAAGGTGGTCCTGGGCCTCACTCTGGGGACAGCCAAGGAAGCCAGTGCCCGCTCAGCACACCGGTCTCTGCATGGAGAAGAGCAGGGTCCTTGGCAGAGAATTTTATGCAGAGAGAAAGTACAGAGAATAACAACACCGCAGAAAGCCTCGTCCCCACAACCCAGAAGTAACCAGTGTTAGTTAACACATCTGCTTCAGACCTTTACAGAGATGTATGGAGAGAGCAGGTGAGCACTTGTGGCCAATTTGCTTCCACCGGCAAATAGAGGAAGGGAACATGGGAGTTCATTGCATCATCCTTGCAATTAGCAAGATACGCATCATTGCACCTCTTCTGTAGTTTTGCAGTATTTTCCAAAATAATATCACGTAGCCCTAGCTGGGTTGGCTCAGTGGATAGAGGGTAGGCCTGCGGACTGAAGGGTCCCAGGTTTGATTCTGGTCAAGGGCACATGCCCGGGTTGCAGGCTCGATCCCCAGTGGGGGGCGTGCAGGAGGCAGCTGATCAATGATCCTCTCTCACCACTGATGTTTCTATCTCTCTCTCTCCCTCTCCCTTCCTCTCTGAAATCAATAAAGATATATTTAAAGTAATAATATCAGCTAAAATGATCAATAAAGTATATGTAGAAGAAAAGAGCTTTACTTTTTAGCAGAAGATCTTTCTTACTCTCTTTTGGGGTCTTGCACCCCCTGAGATTCTGAGAAAAGCTATGAACCATCCCCAAAGAATACCTGGTTATCCCTGCCGTCGCAGGCCCCCTGAAGTCCATGCACTGAGCACCAGCCCCGAAAGGCGCCTTTATTGCCCATGTCCTACTGTGGCAGATCCAGCCCTGAAGACTGGCCCAGGGCTGTGAGTGCAACAGAGCTGTGGCCATGGCTCAGAGGTGCCCTGGCTGCTGATAACTTCCCCAGGGAAAGAGGGGCAGGGAAGTGAGCAGCTGGCTTCATCCAACCCCCTCTTTGTGGATGTAGAGGCCTGAGCAGGCCTTCCCAGCCCCTCCCTCAGAGGCCCGAGGGGTGACCCCTCTGTCTGCATCGGTCGCCTGTAGGCACCTTTCTGCCTGGATGTGTAGTGAGGACAGTACCCTGGCGGCTGCTACAGCAGGAACCTCGGTGACTGTATGGATGTCCCGGGCTGGGCTTCTAGCAGAGGGTGACTGGCCTCTGAGGAGCCCCTCCTTTGCCCTCTGGCCCTGGGGCCCCACATTTCTGTTTCCACCTGTTGGGGCTCCACGTTCCCTCCTCTCCACCCACCTTCTGCAGGCTCAGCCCAGGCCTGACGGGGAGGTGATGCCCACGCTGGACATGGCCTTGTTCGACTGGACCGATTATGAAGACTTAAAGCCTGAGGCCTGGCCCTCTGCCAAAAAGAAAGGTTCGTTCACCCAGCCGGCGGGGCTCAGAGGTTGAGCGTCAGCCTATGACCTAGGACAGGGATGGCGAACCTTTTGAGCTCGGCGTGTCAGCATTTTGAAAAGCCCTAACTTAACTCTGGTGCCGTGTCACATAGAGAAATTTTTTGATATTTGCAACCATAGGAAAACAAAGACTTATATTTTTGATATTTATTTTATATATTTAAATGCCATTGAACAAAGAAAAATCAACCAAAAACATGAGTTCGCGTGTCACCTCTGACACGCGTGTCATAGGTTCGCCATCACTGGCCTAGGAGGTCACAGTTTGATTCCCAGTCAGGGCACATGCCTGGGTTGTGGGCTCGATCCCCAGTAGATGTGCAGGAGGCAGCTGATCAATGATTCTCTCTCATCATTGATGTTTTTTTCTCTCTCTCCCTCTCCCTTTTTCTCTGAAATGAATAAAAGTATAAAAAATTAAACAATTTTTAAAAATTAAAAAAAAAAAAACAAGAAAGGTACATCTACCTACCCCCCCCCCCCCATGCCTGGGCTCCCTCCCCTCCCCCAGCCTGACCTACAGATGTCCAAAGTGGGGGATGGGTGGGGCATGGAGTCCACACTGCAAGGCGCACCCCACAGGGAAATACCACTATCGAGGACTTACCAAGTGCCAAGCTCGTTCCATGTGCCAACTCATTTGACCCTGAAAAAAGAAGGTTAGGTCTGTGCTATCCATGAGCCCGGTTTAGAAAAGAGACGGCTGCGGCGGAGTCCCCGCCACACTGGGAAGGCGGGGCGTGCGCTCCGACACCAGCGTCCGTGTGCTTGCTCTCGGCCCCGCTGGGCGGCAGCATCTGACCGTGATCTTCTTGTCCCCAGAGAAGACCCGGGGTAAACTCTCCAGTGATGGCAACGAGACATCCCCAGCCGAAGGGGAGCCGTGCGACCATCACCACGACTGCCTGCCAGGTACCGACCCAGCGTCACGTTCAAGGCACCAGGCTGGGTGCTGGGTGCTGGGTGCTGGGGGCCTGAGGGGGGTGAGGTGGACCTTCCCAGGCGCACGAGGAGGCCTGTGGGTTCAGGACCCTCTCGGGGTAATAAGTAGTAACAACCCCAGCTATCCTTTCCTGAGAGTTGCTGGAACATTGACTTCATCCTCAGAGCAACCCAGAGAAAGAGACCCTGTCACCCCCAATTTTCAGGCAAGGAAACAGCCTCAGAGGGTGAGTCTCAGCCAAGGTCACACGGCTGGGAAGTGGCTCAACCCTAAGTCGGCCTGAGGAGCCACTGCCCCTCGCGCTGCCTTAAGTCCGGCTGACCACTCCCTCCACTTCCTCCTAAAGTCTGGTCGGGCTTAATGCTGCCCTTGGCCCATCACCACACTGCCCAGCTTTCTGTGGATGTTCCCATGGCATCCTCGCCCGTTCGGCAGCTGTGCCCATCAAGACCCTGAAAGCAAGGAGCTGGTGTTTTGACTGATGCCCTAACCTCCAGGGGCATCTACTGAGGTGAAGTTGGATATATAGGAGGTTAGGGGGTGGGGGTAAGGTCTCAGGGTGATAAGAGGGCGAGGAGCAGGAATGGCAGGGGAACCTGGGATGCAGTCTTGGCCCGGCCCTGTTACTCCTCCTCCCCACCCCCCTCCCCCGCCATCGCTGGGACTGCTCAAGAGATAGCGTGACATGGGCCCAGGGTGACATCCTGAAGAGGCTAACAGCTAACTGCTCTCCTCGCTGCTGGACAGCAAGTGCCACCTGGATCTTGGGGGGAGAGCCGAGTGGTACACCCCCAGGGGGACACATTGCTCATTCAGTGGCGGGAATAGTCTACAAAACCGCCATCGCATCAGCATTTGGCATTGTGTGGGCCAGACCACCAGCTCCCCGACAGGCAGTTTTCTTTCCAAACCGTTGTTTTCACCCAGAGCAGAAAGAAAAGGCTGGCGTTTGGGCCAACTGGACAGTCGCTCTGAGAGGGGGCTCCATGGTGGGCGGGTTGGGGCCTGCCTTGGGGGATCTCACTGCTTCCCGGGGCGGGGGGCGGGGGGGGCCGCGCTTCGGTTTCTCCATCTGTCAAAAGAGGACGTTGGTGTCAATGATCCTTGAGGCGCCCCAGCTCCACGCTGACGCCACACCTGGCAGCCCCCAGCTGTTCCGCCCGCGGTCCCCGGGAGGTGATCCCACAGTGCTCCGCTCCTCCCATGATCAATCAATTGTCCATCTAGGGCAGCTGGGTCTCTGCCACCCGCCCGCAGGGCCCTGGGCCGTGACATCCGTCAGTGGTTCCGGCTGGGAGCCTTGCACACCAGATGGCCCCACCCCGCCAGGGCACGGCCCTGCCGCAGCGATGATGGATCTGCTGTCCGGTGGGACCGTGTGCGGGCGTGGGGAGGGTCCCCGCAGCTTGGCTGACCACGTGTGCTTGCTGTGTTGGCAGGGACCTGCTGTGACCTGCGGGGGCACATCTGCATGCCCCACAACCGGGGCCTCAACAACAAATGCTTCGACGACTGCATGTGTGCGGAAGGTGAGCCTGGACTCCCCCTGGCGGGTGCGGGGGGGGGGGGGGGGCGGGGAGGCATCTCTTATGCTCTGAAGCTGGTTCTGCACGGAGCCCGGATGCTATTTCGTGGCGGAGGCGGCCTGAGGGGCCTGCGGCGAAAGAGGGGTGGGAGAATCCCTTGGGAGCCGACGCTGTGAGCATCAGTGCCTTCCCAATCTGTGAACTCATTTAGTCTCCAGTCCTGGTATCGTTTCTCAGATTTGTTTTTCTTGATTCTCAAAATACAAGCTGGCTTGATCTCCCATGATCGGGAGGCAGGAGAAGGGAGGAGAGAGGAGACTATCTCTTTAAATAAGATCAAAGCCGAGAAGGCTGGTGCTTTCAGGCCAGAATTCTACCCCAGGGAGGCATTCCAAGTGCGATATCGGGCTGGGGGTGGGTTTCCCAGCCCGTCTCAGCGTCTCAGCGAAGGATGGATGCACTTGGCTGGCCGGCTGCTGCTTTAACCTCTGAGCTCCCACCCGGAGCAGTAGGCAGCCTCCTGCCCAGGTGTGCCGGGCTCTGTGCTAAGCACTTGACTCTCATTATCCTCCTCACCCTCCTTAACCCTTAATCCTCACGCCTTCTTAATCCTCACAGCCATCCAGGGAGGGAGCGATTGTGATCTCCATTTTACACATCAGCAAACAGGCACAGAGAGGTTAAGTGACTTGCCCAAACTCACACAGCTGGAAAAGGAGGAGAACATTTTTAATTTTGTATTCTGAAATTTTTCAAGCATATATGAAGTAGTCAGAGCAGTAGTCACTATAATAATGAACCCCGTTTCCCACCACCCAGCTTCAATAATTGCCAACTCACTGCCAATCTGTGTCGTCTCTCCCCTGCCCAGTCCCCCATTCCAATATAATTTTGATGCAACTCCTGGGAGTTTGGAGAGATTTTATCTGTGAATATTTCAGTGTCTATCTCTGAAAGATAAGTACTCTTTTAAGAACAAAATACCAAAAATGAACAATAATTACTCAGTATCATCCAGGATCCAATTAGTGTTCGTATCTCCTGAGTGGGAGGATTTGGTCTCGGTGCCTCTGTTAACCATCCTCAGATACATGCCCTGGTTTGGCTCACAGCAGGCTAACAATCATCTGCTGTGAAAGCAGTAACACTGTGTCCGTCCCATCATTCATGCATCCATTCATTCAGGAAATATTTACTGAGCACGTACTATGTGTCTGGTACTGACCTGGGATTCAGCAGCGAAAAGAAGGAGCAAGTTCTGCCCTGACTGGTTTGGCTCAGTGGATAGAGCATTGGCCTGCGGACTGAAGGGTCCCAGGTTCAATTCCAGTAAGGGCATGTACCTTGGTTGCGGGCACATCCCCAGTAGGGTGCGTGCAGGAGGCAGCTGATCGATGTTTCTCTCATCGATGTTTTTGACTATCTCTCCCTTCCTCTCTGTAAAAAATCAATAAAATATATTTTTTTAAAAAAGGAGCAAGTTCTGCACCCAGAGTCCATTTCAGTGCGATGAGATCTTATCTCCCTGCCCAGTGAGATGAGATGCCTTTAGAAGCAATAAGGGCTGTGAGGAAAATAGCCCGGAGGTCTGCTGAAAAGTCTGGGTTGTTACAGAAAGGAGGGGCAGGAGTGGACAGTGGAACCAGCCACCTGAAGATGGTGGCTGTATGGGAGACCGTCCCAGGCGAGAGGCAGGAGCAAGGCTGGTGTGTGGGCTGGGCACACGGTGGCCACGGGGAAGGTGGCACACGGGGAGTGGGGGAAGCTTGTTGGGAGGATCATGCAGAACCTTGTTGGCCTTGTTTGATTTCTAATTGGAAGTTGCAGGCAGGTTGTAACCAGGGGCATGACATGGTCTGGCTTTGGGGTTAACAGTTCACTATGGCTGTAGGGCTGTGGGGGGCAGGAATGGAGACAGGAAGGACCAGGTGGGAGGGGAGAGGGGATGGAGGCAGCAGGTGTGGAAGATGGGGGGGATGCTGGGAAGCTGCCTTCTGGTACTTGGATGCAGGGTCGAGGCCCCATTTCACAGAAGAGGAGACTGAGGTGCCGAGTGGGCAGGAGGCACTCCAGTCCAGGGAGCCCAGAACAGCGTTGGGGCCAAACCTCAGTCCTGGGCCTCCAGGTCCAGCCCACCTAAGTGAGGGGACTTGGCCCCTCTGAGCTGCACATGCCCAGTGGTGCCTGGCTGGATGCTCAATGGTGGCCACTTTGCCCAGGAATCAATCCATTCCCCCTCCCTCCCTCCCTCCCTCCCTTCCTCTCTTCCTTCCTTCCCTCCTTCCTTCCTCTCTTCCTTCCTTCCCTCCTTCCTTCCTTATTTTCCCCCTTCCTCTCTCTCTCCCTCCCTCCCTGGGCCTCAGGTGGGAGGGGACGGCTTTCCAGGCGTCCAAAGGCTCTGTCTACAAACAAAGCCCCATCTGCTCCTTTCCGCTGGCCCTCGCACTGGTCGGCTCCATCAAAACTCTTGCTTCCTCCCTGGAGACTCAGGCTCAAAAAAATGAAGAGTAGAAGCGACAGTTCAGGCAGCTCATTAAAAATGGCCCAGGAAGAGGTTGTCACCGAGACGCCACACCGGAGGGATCTGGGGGTGCCAGGAACCCTCGTGGGGACCATATCCCCAAACGCTGGACACAGGGCTCGGAGCTGAAGCCGGCAGTCGGGGCCAGCCTGCGTTCCGGAGGGTTCCAGAAGGGCTTCTGTGACTACCAACCACTCCTGCTCGCGATCCCCTGTCCACTCCCAGGTGTCACTTGTGTGGTCTCAGCTCTAAAAGCCCAGTGACCCAGGTGTCAGCTCTAGGCCACTCAGCACACACTTCATAGCAGCCCCTTTATTCTCTTGATGGTGACATAGTGGATCTTAAAGTAGCAAGGTCCTCTCTCTCTGTGGTCACTCGTAACCTGAAATGTAGGGATTTGCTCGCTGACGTCTCTTTCAGCCACCATCAAGAGCACGTGGACGTAAATGGACAGTATGTCTACCCATGTATTTCAGGGGGTGCCTGGGATGATGTGGAGAGGGCCACACCTACTTTAATTAGTTGGGCAGGGAGGTTCTCTTTGAGACCTGAAGGCCATGAAGGAGCCAGCTATGCAAAGGGCTTGGGGAAGGCATTTCTGGCTGAGAGACAGCAAGTGCAAAGGTCCTGAGGCAGGAAGTGGCGGGATATATGAGGAAAAGCAAGAAGACTGAGGTCAGGTTTCCTTTCGAGCACAATAGAGAACCTCCCGGTTGTATAGGGGAGGGCAGAATCTTCATTCCTTTAAAAAGTTTTTAATAGACTTTTTAAAAAGTCCTCACTCGAGGATATATTTATTAATTTGAGAGAGGGAGGAGGGGGGGAGAGTGAGAATGTGAGAGAGAAATTTGAATTGGTTGCCTCCCGTATGCGCCCCAACCGGGGATCAAACCCACAACCTAGAAATGTGCCCTGACCAGGAATCAAACCTGAAACCTTTTGGTGTACAGGACGATGCTCTAACTAACTGAGCCACCCGGCCAGGGCTTAATAGACTTTTTTAGAGCATTTTTAGGTTTACAGAAAAAGTGTGCAGAAAATACAGAGTTCTCCTCCTGCAGTTCCCCCCGTTATTATCTCTCATTAGTGTGGCACACTTTCTACAAGTGATGAGTCGATCCAGATACGTGGTTATTATTATTTTCAAGAAGAGCAGTTTATTTTACATTTGTTGCTTCTAAAAAGGGAGAGAGGGGCATTTATTTGTTTTCATTATGTATGCATTCATTGGTTGATTCTTGCGTGTGCCCTGACCCAGGATGGAAACCAGAACCTTGGTGCATCCAGACGATGCTCTAACCAGCTGAGCTACCAGTCAGGGTGATGCATTGTTGTTGTTCACTAAAGTCCATAATGTCTGCTCTTCGTGTGGTACGTCCTGTGGTTTTTGATAAATGCACAATGACATGCATCCACCATTACAGTGTCACACAGATTAGTTTCATGGACCTAAATGTCCCCTGTGCTCCATCTATTCACCCCTCCTTCCTCCGCACTCAGGCTGCTGTGAGGCGGGTGGGTGGGTTGTAGGGCAGAATAAAGAAGGGGGTGGTGGTGAGAGGGGGCAGGGGTCCCAGAGGGTGTGTAGGGGAGAGGATGGGGAGAGGACTGGCCCACTGCACCCCTGACCCCCTTGCCTCTCTTTGCTCAGGGCTGCGCTGCTATGCCAAGTTCCACCGGAACCGCAGGGTCACGCGGAGGAAGGGGCGCTGTGTGGAGCCCGAGATGGCCAACGGCGACCAGGGATCCTTCATCAACGTCTAGTGGCCCAGCTTGAGGCGCCTCCCCGCAGGCCCGGGGACTGAGCGCTGGAGGTTTGGAGAAGCGACAGTTTGTTTATAACTAGCGGTGGGAGAGCAAATGGGGGACCAGATGTCTGAGGCTGCAGGCTCCGACCCAGGACCCGATCCAGGACCCGCAGCCCCGGGAGGGGAGCGCTGGGGAACTGCCTCTGCCCTGGAGCCCATTAGCAGCTCGTCCGCAGCCCACACCCCTGGGGGACCCGCAGGGCCTGAGCCGCTGGTGCCCTGTCCTCCGCGATGGCAATGTCGATAGTGCCCTCTACTGTCCGACCGCAGCACTGCAACAGCTTCAAGTTTTAAAAGTGAAGAGGTTTTTGAACGGAAGAGAAATGGGAACTTGGGTGGGAGATGAGCACGAAACACCTCTTTTGTGCCAGGCACTGTGCTAAATGCCTGACACACGTTATCCCGCGACCTTTTCGCCGTCTCCAGGTGAGGAAACAGCGCCGCCGTGGAGCCATCCGACCTGCCCGAGGTCCCAGCGCAGTGCTCCTCAAACCTTAACCTGTGTCCCAGCCCTCTGGGGTCGGGCGCAAATTCAGATTCCTATCCAGCCGATTCTGCCTTTCCCACAAGCCGAGGGCCTGCCCACGCCGCTGGTCCCCGGCCCCACCGAGAGCTCCCACCGTGTCTTGGGGAGCAGACGTGGAGTTGTGATCGGAACCTGGCCCCAATGTTTCGGGCTCCACACAGCGTTCTTGCTCCTTCACAACTAAGGACTATTGCAGGCTCTCCAGGGCTTTCAGCGAGAGAGGCGTGTTCCCTGCTAGTCCTTTCTCTGGGTGAAGCTGCAATGACTGACCGCTCTCCTCCTTCCCTGGACAGCTGGGCATCATCTTTCAAACAGAACCAAATCTGCGCTAAGCACCTGCTTGTCTGTCTGTACGGCGTGGTCTGGGCAGATGGGCCCCTGCCCCCCGGGAGCTGGCATGCTGAGCCGGGACGGGTTCCTCGGAGTCCTCCGGCCCTGCTCACCCTGTCCTGGCACATGTGCCTCAGAGTTGCCCCAGCACCCTCCACCCCCGGGGTTACTGATTCCAGAGGGGAAAGGGAGAGAAAGATAGAAACATCAGTGATGAGAGAGATTCATGGATTGGCTGCCTCCTGTACACCCCCCATTGGGGATGAGCCCACAGGCCGGGTATGTGCCCGACCAGGAATCCAACCGTGACCTCCTGGTTCATAGGCTGACACTCAACCACTGAGCCACACCAGCCGGGCAGTTCTTTAGCTTTTGTAGTTCGTGCCCTTGGAGAATGTAATGCAAGCAGGGACTCAAAGCACACACACATCGCCATAGGCAGCCTACACCTTAGTGGCTCCCAGGCCTCCCGTAGACAACCACCCCACACTTCTGCCACAAAGCCCACTGAGGAGTTGGGGCCTCTCTGAGGTTGAGGTGCTTGAGGATAACTGCCCCCCACAGGCCAGACCCAGGATGCCCACCCAGAACGTCTCTCCACGCAGAGCTGGCTCTAGGGACCACCTGACGCCCCCTGCCTGGCATCTCATTCCTGGCCAACTCTCTGGTCCAGGGCAAACCAGGTCACAACTGACAAAATCCCTGTCCATCTGGATTCCTTGCACCTGCTTGGGGGACGGGGGGCACGCCCACAGGATGCCAGGGCTGTTTACTCCCCTGGGAAAATCAGTTGGGGTCAGGGGTCTGGCACCAAGGAACACAGACTCATCTAGCAGAAACCAAATAGGCTTGCCCTTTTCTCCTATTCCAGTTCGATGGGCATGGGCCTCTTGCCGGTGAGGCGGTGCAACTGAAAGAGATCAAAGCCGGCTCTTTGGAAATGGAACCCTGAGTCCGCCAGCAGATTGTCTGTGAGGGAGCAGACAACGCCTCTGCTGTGTGCGCCTTGCATGGGTGGCTGGTTGGAGACTGTGATGGAGCCGTAAGGGTGTGGCTGCAGGCAGGCCATGCAGCCTGAAGTCTGGGGGGGCGGGGGGTGCTGTCAGGTGGCCCTGGACATCGGCAGTGGGAAACAGAAGGTCAAGACAAAGCTGAAAGGCCCCACGGAACTGTCACTGCCCTCGGGGGAGTTCCATGGCTAAGAAGTGGGGCCTGGTATCCATTTGACCTGGCTGTCTGCATTTGGCATTTGCAAAGTGGGGTGGGGGCGGGGGTGGAATCCTTTTATCTCCAGGGGGGTCCCAAAGCCCCCTCAGTGTTTAACAAACTTCTCTGACAAGAAGTTCTTTTTCACCCTGACCGGTTTGGCTCAGTGGATAGGGCATCGGCCCGCAGACTGAAAGGTCCCAGGTTTGATTCCGGTCAAGGGCATGTACCTTGGTTGCGGGCACATCCCCAGTAGGAAGTGTGCAGGAGACAGCTGATTGATGTGTCTCTCTCATTGATGTTTCTAGCTCTCTATCTCTCTCCCTTCCTCTCTGTAAAAAATCAATAAAATATATATATTTTAAAAGTTTTTTCTTTTTATAAATATGTTTTTATTGATGTTACAGAAAGGAAGGGAGAGGGAGAGAGAGATAGAAACATCGATGAGAGAGAAACATTGACTGGCCGCCTCCTGCACACCCCCAACTGGGGATCAAGCCAGCAACCTCACCATATGCCCTGATCAGGAATCAAACCGGTGACCTCTTGGTTCATAGGTCGACATTCAACCACTGAGCCACCCTGGCCGGGCAACCAGGAAGTTCTTCCTTGTTTTCTGGGGGGGAGCAGGGGGAGTTCTTCCTTAGGTCTATCTTAACTTTCTTCTGCTGGTACAGAAGCCAGTTTTCTCTGATCCAGGGGGTCAGCAAACTTTACCAGAAAGGGCCAGAGTGTTCCCATAAAACTATTTATGGACACTGAGATGTGAATTTCATATAATTTTCACAGGTCACAAACTGCTGTTCTTCTGTTGATTTTCTAAAGCACATTTAAAAAGATAGAAACCTCGCTTAACTTGTGGGCCACACAAAAATCGGCAGTGGGTTGGATGTGGCCCACGGGCCACGGTTTGCAGATCCTGCTCTAGTCCGCTCGTCTCAGTCCATGCAGGACGTCAGAATAACCTGGGCAGCCTTCAAAGGCACCGGTGTCCAGGGGCCACCTGCAGAGAGTCCGCTGTCGTTGGTCAGGGTTGTGTCTGGGTTCCCTGTGTTTCCAAGGCTCTGCAGGTGACGAGCGTGGAGCCGGCCCGAGAGCTGCTCTAGGCCTGCTCCACCTCTCACCACCTTCCTGACCTTAAGGAAGTTCCTTAAGGTCTCTGTGCCTTGATTTCTTCATCTGTATAATGGGGACAATGACTCTTCCTTCGTAGGGATATTGGGCGAAGTAATTGCAAATTCTTATAATGTGCTTCTAACAGTGCTGGGCACATAATGAGCCCCCAGTGTTACTTGATTTATTTTCCAGGATAATGTTAGGAGGTGTTTCATTCTTTGCTAACGATCCATCGCATCGTCAAAGATCATTTCTAAGTCACCACTCAGGCTCCTTCCCCGAAGCATGTCCCCTGGACCACTGGGGCCATGAGATGCTCCGTCAGAAAGAGGATGTGTCTTCTGGGTCCGAGGTTTGGAGATCTGCGTGCACAGACTCCGGGCCGAGCTGGAGGTGTGCGCGGCTTGAGATAACAGGTTCATGAGTTTTTTTTAAAATGCACCCACCCCCTCGGGGGGTGGGGGGAGCTGAGCAGCGGGCCAAGTGGAAACCAGTAGCTGCTGGGACAGTCACTCGGGCCCTCCTGCATTCCTCCTGTGGCGTCGTACCGCCGTTCCCCAGAGATAGTCAGTGTTCCCACGGGGCTGCCTTTCCAGGATTTGTCTGGTGGCTCCCCAGGCTGCTGGGAATGGCCTGAGGTCAGAGGCCACGAGGGCCACGCCTCCTGGGAAAGTGGCCGCTTCGCTTTGGGGTGTAACTGAGACACAAGTCGGATCGCAAAGCCACAACCACCTCCACCTCGGAGATGCTGCGGGTGGCTCTCCCTCCCAGCAGGTGCAACACCCCCAATGCATCGATGCTGCGTGGTGGGCACACAGCCCCCGGAATGGGGTTCCCTGTGCAGCTGGAGAGGGGCGGAGATCCACGTGCCCTGCAAGGAACACGTTGATTCACAGAACAGCGAGGGAAGATGGGTGCTGGGAGAGGTGGTGAGAGAGGCCAAAGAGCAAAGCATTTCACAGGCTGGACGGGCGCGTCCCCCCTGTGGTGACCCTCACTCTCGGGGGGAGGGGGGGGGGGTCTGAGCGCGTGTGCGCTGCGGAGGGAGCGGCAGGAACTAGCGGTTTGCAGAACCGGGTGCTTCCATTGTGTGTTTTCTGCATTCTGTCAGGATGGCTGCTGGGGTTTAGGACCCGTGGACTCTGGGAGGCTTCCTGGTCCCTCCTTATTCCCCGTGCTCAGGACCCAGCCGCGTGGCATGGCCTGGAGCCGCGGGGAAAGGCAGGCCCCGGGGCCCACCTGCTGAATCCGAATCCCGGGGGAGTTTGGACAATTTCTCCGGGCCGTTCCCACACGCTGTACCTGAGAGACAGGTCTGGGGCGGGAACTGTTGGGCCAGGGACATGGGGATGATTCAGGGACATTCACAGTCAGGGGGAGTTGTCAGTCCAGCTGGCCCAGCTAACTGGCTGTGACGAACTGGGAGGCCCTGCCTCGGGGCTGGAACTGGTCTTTATTTTTAGAGAAAATCAAGTGGGGCGCCTGGGCCGCGGGCCCGCAGTTGGGTGTTCTGACTCTGAGGACCTTCCCGGGGGGTCTGCGGTCCCTCTTTAGAGTGGGAGGGGGTGCTACACCCTCGTAGTCCTGTGTTGCATGTGGTCTCTTGCGCTGTAAATAAAGAGATGATGGTTAATACGCCGCCTTGCTGTCTCTCTCTGCCCCTCCAGGAGGCGGGCTGCCTGTGCAGGCAGTGAGCACGGTCGGGATTCCACCTGCCATGTCTCTTGCATTTTCTCACCCTCACCTTTTACTGAGCGTTTGCTCTGAGCTAAGCAGTAAACCAGGAAGATGGGGCCTCTGCCCTCACCTGGGCCTCGCTGTGGTCCTTCGACCAGACCTTGTGGGTGGGAGTTTCATACCTTCATCTCCTTCCCCATCTTAGGGTTGGGGCAGCTAAGGTCCCACAGAGATGACAGGGCTGGTCACAGCAGGTCGGCCCCTGGCAACCTCATTCCAGGCCTGGGTGGCCGAGTGCCGAGAAATACTGATGGCAACTTTGGCAAGACGGGGAAGAACTCAGGAACGCCATCGAGGCTGGGCCGGGCAGGCCCCGATGCATCTTGGGAAAGCATGCACTGGCGAGGGGGTGGCCTGGCTTTGCACCGGGAAAGGCGTCTCTTGTCTCAGTGGCAGCTGCAGCCAGCTCTGCTCAGCTCCACGCCCTCGGTGACCCTTATCTATGCTTTTGCTTTCCGTGGTTTCCGTTACCCGAGATCGACCTCAGTCTGAAATTATTAAACCGAAAATTGCAGAAATAACTCATACATTTGAAATCGGTGACATTTTGAGTCGCAGGATGAACTCACTCCATCCCGCTCTGTCCGCCCCGGACATAAACCATCCTTTGTCCAGTGTATCCACGCTGTTCACTAAACTCCCGTTAGCTGTCCGGGTTATCAGATCACCTGTGGCCAGGCTTGTGTTTGTCACCCTTATTTTACTTAATAGTGACTCACTCCTCTCACTTGGTCTCGTCACACAGGCCTCGTGTCATCTCACATCATCACAAGAAGGGTGAGTCCAGTACAAGATATTCTGAGAGAGAGAACACGCTCCTATAACTTTTATGGCAGGATGTTGTAATTATTCCATTTTTGTTAGTTATTGTCATTAATCTCTTACTGTGCCTAATTGATAAATTGAGCTTTATCATAGGTATGCATGTTTGTGTAGAAAAAAAAACAGTATACACAGTGCTCGATATATAGAGGGTTTGGTAGATCCACAGTTTCAGGCATCCACGGGGCGGGGGTGGGGTGTCGGGTGGTGTCTTGAAACGTCTAAGGCTGAGAAGGAGGGATGGATAAGGGGGGACTGTGCCTGTTGGGAGAGGAAATGGCAATGCATCCATCCAAATACAACCCTGGCCTGTTTATTGAGCTGTCCACTGCATGAGGCCCCCGTCCTCTGTGTAGCTGGAAACTGTTGCACCCCATTTTGTGGAGGAGAAAAACTAAGGCACTGAGAAATAAAGGCCTTAGTGACAGTAGTGAAGAGCCAAGGGCAACACCCAAGTCTCTCTGAATCCAAAACCTGATTATGTTCACCGGCCCCATGTTGCCTCTCCAATGCCTCAGTTTGGTCAGTCACCTAGCCTCAGACCCGCCCCCACCCCCACCCCAGCTCATCCAGGATCCCCAGGGCTGCTGCCAGGGCCTGCAGGGGACAGGAGCTCCTCAGGCAGGCCCCTGCCCTGGACACTCACCTTCACGCTGCCTCCAGGAAGGCCCCTGGGGTTTCCTCTTCCTCATTCTTCTCTTATCTCCCCCACCTGAGCACAGGCTCTCTTACTGCCCCTCAGGGAGCCAGGGAGCCAGACAGGAATGCTCTGCAGTGAGCCAGCCCAGCAACAGAGGGTGAAAGCAAACACCAAGAAAAGCCCCAGGCAGAGAGGCATCTTGGGCAGCCGCAGGGCTCGGTGGCCATCACTGGCCTTACTTGCGTGTCTGAGCGACCTCTAAGGCACAGCCAGAGCCCTCGTTGCCTCCCTTGGGATTCTATTCCGTCTACATGGAGAGACGAGGCTGGACAGGGGGAAGGAGGAGGCGGCCTGAACTCGGACAGAAGTGGGACAGAGGAGCAGAGCCAGGACAGGCAGTGGGAGGCGGGAGGCGGGAGACACTCTGCACACATTTAGGGAGGGCCTGCGTGCGTGCACACACATGGACACATGGTGACATGAAGAGGATGGCTGGAGGAGGGTAAGGGGAATGAAAGGCCATAGGACAGAGTGAGGGCCGCTCGGGCGATGGGCTGTCTCTGTCGTGGGCAACGGCCTCTGAAACCCCTCTCTTTCTGGCTGGTGTCGAACACAACCGTTTCCCGGGATGCAGCCGCTCACAGGCTTGTCCTTCCTGCTTTCCACACCCACGGAGTGGTCCACACAGCCTTCTGATGGGCTCTCTGCTGCCCCACCTGAGCACACGGGGCGAGATCAGTGGTAATTTGCATAGGATCCTGATGAGATGGCCGAACAACAGGAACATTAGGGATTATTGGCTGCATTTTAATGCTCAAGGAGGAGTATTCAAGGAGCCTGGCTGGGCCCATAACACTCGTCTGGTGGGGAAAAACCAAGTGTCTCTTCTGGAAAAGGGGGTTCTCACACCTTCCAGCAATGT